CATGTGTCATTGGAAATATGAGGAATTAACATAGATCCACGTGTCATTGGGAACATGATATAGCAAGACTGGGTTGTACAGTAACACGAACAGGTAGGTGAACAGTAAACCGATGTATTAACCCTATCATCCCTATATAACTTTAGTAGACTCTACTACGCATTGATCTGGTAAAGTCCATTATGGTCTACAGTGATGAAAGGGTTAATACTCAAATACGTATATCTACTGAAATTAAAACACTGCAAATCGTCTATTGTTTCTATTCGATATGAATGGTGAAGGTTTCCAGTTTTAAGGAGTACCTGTACAATATTTTGTTTCATGCCTAACAGTTAGTGGTCTAATAATAGATATTATCGCATAACAAAATTGTGTGTAAGCATCAGCAAAGTTTTGACGCAAATATCTGTTTTACTGACAACAAATTGTCTTGTTTTCTTGGAGATACACTTACATTCAAGAGCAAGAAATATAATTTATTAAAAAAACTCACCGATAGGTATGTCTGATACGACAATAACATAAAAGACCATCCCATTAGCTACTTTGATTGAGAACTACACTTTTTAGAACTTGCCTTGGTTTAAATACAGGCTAAGGTCATAGATGTTATAAAACATTGTAGGGGATCTTTACTTCTCGTGCCATACGTCACAACCAGTGATCATTAACCTTGATGTTAAACGGCCATATTGAAAGAAAAAACTAACACAATAGAAGGTGTATTTGGTTAACAAGGTTCCAAATTTACATTTGCGATAAATCAAAGTCTTATTGAATATAGATGTTTCACCCATAATTGAAGGTATGATATGAGTGATAATTGTGTTTTTTATGTGTGATATAGATCGACAGATACAACACACTAGTTAGTGAACCACTTAACAGCCGTACAATGATGTACAGTATTACCTTGAAATCAACACCGAAATGTCCATGGTATAATTGTTTGACAATATCATGAACCGTCGCAAAAATTATGACATAGCAATTATATTTAACTGCTATTTGATGACAAGCAATTAACCTCCTTGATTTGCTCCCAACTGAACAGAAATGCGCTTTGCCTGCAGCATAAAACTTAGAGACAAATTACTCAGTATTAACTCATATTGTGTAAGGAAACGTTTATTCAAAAAATGTACTTTGTAATTTGTTAATCCTTGCAAATATTAAAATTAGTAGGGGCAGGTTACTATTTACTCACCTCCATATAAGTTTCGATAGCAAAATTTGGAGGCAGAATTTTCCAAACTTATATTGATGCAAGTTTCGGTTGATTAAACATTCAGGCAATAGTTACGATGTACGCAATTAGACGCAGAGTAAAGATTAGTGCGTATTGAACCAGATACATGTACAATAAGCACATATTCAGGCATGCACAATTGCTGTATTGTCTTGGAGCGTACATCCTGCGCCATTTCACTATTATATGCGCACTGGTATAGCGTACGGAGGGTGCATATAACGAATGTATATAAAAATGAGGCTGATTGAAACATGGTACAATATGCGCAAATTTGAGTAGTATGTAGTTGTTCCACATTGAGGCAGTATAGAATTGACGCCTATTTCGCTAGTGTTAAACTGTCATACAATGTTCAATTTGTGTACGTTCAGTCAGTATATACAACTGACCCACAATGTGGCATATTTTCCTGGCATCATGTACGAGTGATTAACAAGCTGATACATGTACATGCAGTGTTATTTCCTGTTATAGGCCCTAAACATGATTTCTTTTATTGCGCTCGTTTCCTATACTACCTCATATCCCAATCATATATTCTGCTTACTGTTGTCTCCAATCAGTGGACCCCACCATGTTATATACTCTAAACATGTACACCGTATACTGCTAAACAACGGGTGTTCCTGACCCTACCCATGTTGCGATATGCCTCAATACAAGTTAAGTATGACAAATGAGCAGGATTAACTGAAGTTTTCGCAACATAACAATCGATGAAAATAAGACACCCCCTACCTAACGGTGTAGGAACATGTAGCTAGGTGATACTTGTGTATCCTGGTAATTATAATACGGTCGTCACTCCGTGTGTCGCCTCTCAGCGACTCACCCTTTGTCACGTAAAACGGATTAACAGGTTCTCTGTCGATACCGGGACTAATATCTTAATTTAAACAAAACAAAAACAAATCCAGTGTTTGACAAATGATTATCAAGATTTGTAATTATAAGAAAATCAAGGAAATTATAAGAAAATCAAGATAGAAAAAATGCTTACTTGAATTATAAACCAAACCAAAAATTTAGTTTTGCTGTAACAAGGAATTTCATTGGTTCTGTAGTAATTTGTTTTTGATAGATAAAGCACAATATTCTATAGAAACATACTCTACTACACCACCAAACGAAACACATTATTAAGTCAATAATTGTCAGGTAAAAGTCTACTAAGTGGTTATCTTCCCATTCTTGACGAATACTATAGGCGGTAGATCTCAGGAAGAACTGGTCTTATTTTCCTTTCTAACCGTTCCTTTGTTCATAGTTTCCCTTTGTTATCAGTTTTGAGTTTGAATCACGGTTTTGATGATACTTCCATAAGTATTGTGTTTGTAGTTTAACGTAGTTAGACATACGTAAATTATATAAAAACAAAAACAGTATAATTTGACATACGTTTTACGCCTGCAATTTTTAGTCCGTTAATATTTTTGAAATCATTTCCTCACTGGCCTTTCCTGAACTTATTTTTTTAATATAATCAACTAAAATGTTATTAAACGAATATTTTCCAAAGTCACATAAAATATTTTGTTTAATTTTGATTTGTAAATTTGTGACATTTGAACACTAAAATCGGTCAATTTTAATTTAAAGGTTTTACTGAAAGACACGGATCCTTTATAACACATACATCCCAATTTTACGCATAGTCTGTATGTTTGTGGGCGTGAATTGATAGAAAAGCATTTCGTTTATAGTAAATACAAGCGTTGGACATCTCCCCATTCATACTGAGACGTTAAACTCTACAAACACATCAAATATGAATTTCACACTCCATAAGCCTCGATGTTATCATTGTATAGGAGGTAAACATTATAACAGATCCTATTTCACGAATGACTGTCTTCGGATATGTCCTCTACATTGCCGGGGTTTTTAAAGGGATTAAAGGTTCGTATGGTCAACGGTTGGTTGGAAGCTCTTTCATAACATAGAATAGAAATATAGAACGCAGATATTAAAATTGTCACGAGATCTACCAAACCTGATTTTAAAAAATGAAATAATTAAGGTATTGAACATTTCTAGAACACAGCCGTTATCTTATCTGAAAACAGGAAAAACAGATTAGAGGAAAATATGTATTCTTAAATGTAAAAAAAATGTGATTTTAACAGATAAGATAATTATGACTCAATAAAATCGTTACTTATTCACTATTGTTTGATACATTTTAAACAACGATTAATATTCAGCGGGGTGTTTATCAATTATATGAGTCCTGAAATAAACACGTTATTGAGATTTTGTTTTTCGTTCCCCATATTTGAAATATACGTGATAATATAAAAACTTCATTCAGATCCAATATTTCCATTGTCCCCACTCGCTGTCAACTTTAAAACTACGGTTGATTGGGGAAGGCTGCTCAGTTCAATAAATAAGCTCTAATCAGGCGCTAGAATTTGACAATTTTTGAGTATAGCCTTAGAAATGATGTATTTTCAAGTCAATGGTAGGGTCGGATAGGTAACAACCGATTTAGACAATAGAGTTAGATGAAACTTGAGTTCGGCGGGATTTTTGGCCCTAAATAAGTCAGTTTAGGATGATAGTGACCATCAAATACCGAATTTCTCACGGATTAACACGTACAAACCATATCTTTGTGGGAAGTTTTGATTTCACTTGGAAGTCAATGTTATATTCACAAACTTGTATGGTTAGGGTAAATATAGATATTTGAGATGACATAACAACAGATATATTTCAAGAAAAATATTTTTTAACGAACAAGTATAACCGTTATTGTTACAGTGACGTAAACGTTTACAGCGTCTATCGTGTAGCAGGGCTATATTTGACTCTTGTTATTGACAATGCTCAACATTCTGATAAAAGGCGACTTTACAAGCCGACTGCTTTGAACTCTGGTTGACAATGAGATCTAAGCTTGTCGAACAATGAACAGACACAGAATAAAGAATAACGTTCTGCTTTTATAGAAACTCTTAAAAATGCATATTGACGATTTCCTTTATTCTGCTCGAATTGAAATATAAAAACATCTTATTATATAGTTATGCAACAACGAACGTATCTATATACAAAATTGAATTCGTTTCAATATTGAATCTAGCTTTTGACTTCAAACAATTTGCAACTGTGAACAAATCATATACAGTGTAATGGTTCTTGTATAATGCAGTGCCTACTGGTTGTCTGTATATATTCTACGTTTTGTATTTATGCAGTATAGTGTCAATAAGGGTGCACCTGTACATTTCCATGCCAACCGCCTTACAAAACTAAAAAACAATACGTTACAAGATCACAGGGAAGTGGATGACTAGTATTGTTGTAATTTGTAGTAATAAAGAAACAGGTACATGTTTCATATCCTTATTTTGACGAAATATTTTATAAACCAAAATTTCAATAATTAAAATGATTCATAGTACACCTAATTGTTGGTACATCCAACCGGAACTTGGCATAACTGATACATGTCTGACGTTTGGAACATGCAAGAACATTGCATTTATAATTCCTATAATTAATAACTACAATGTATGTCCTTCATTTTTGATATATACATTTAATTTGCTCATATATGGCCTCTGTGATAAACCTTAACACAAAGATAACCTGCGTGATTAAAATGAAACCTTCCATGAAAATGAAAACCAATTACGCTATAATGATTCGTATAGAAGTTAGCATTAAGACACTGAAGCTGTTATAACTGTTTAGTGCGTTATGATCAGCTGTTATAATACCTACATACGGTACTTACGTATTACGTTGTACGACTTCCTGTCAGCTACCGTGTTAATATCCCTTTGATGCCACTGCCAAATCCAACAGGTTGACTCTTTACAATATCCACACGCCGATAAAATACAGGTAAAATCACAACAAGGCAGGTGTCTGCAAGTTGAATATAAAAATATCGGATATCAATCTGATCGATAGATCGAAGTGATAGTACTATTCATTGTCCTGTTGTTATTTTTGAATGTCTTCGCTCCATTCTGAAATATTGTTTTTTAAATCGTGATTTTTAAATTCACTATGTTTATCCTCCTGGTTGTGACCAACCAATGAATACCTATATACGTATGTGAATGTCTGTGATGTATGTAAAATATGACTGGGTTTATATATCGGTGTTTTTGAAGCATGGTTAGCTTTTTAAATATGACAATACAAATCGTTAATGAATTTTTTAAATTTTTGTTCTTAAATATTAATAATGTGAGGACAATAACACAGTCTTCAATGACATATGAAAATTAAGTTACCTCTCAAAGAAGAAATACTAAAATTCCGACAGAAAAAAATCAGGGTTAAATACCAAATATGTCTTATCGTTAAACCAGGTGTCCAATTTCTCCTATACAATACCAATCATAGGTACTGCATGATATATTAGGCGGCGTCTTTGTTTCTAACCAGTAACCTCGAACGAGGATCCTTATCATCTTTAACCTACAGAGCTGACGTCATTAAAGTCGATATGAACGAGTCTATACGCAGCTTTTCCATATACACTGACTACAGATTGCTTATTATCCCCCCGCAAAACGACGTTGTCGGGGGGGGGGGGGGGGGGGGAATGAAACGGTTTCTGTCCATGTGTCTATAATTACATTGTATGCTCACCATTTCAGTAGTGTTAGGGTGTGTTTTTTTTGGGTTTTTTTTACGTTTAATGGCCAGCAGTAGTTACAATAACTAAGGTCAAACCAACCAAGAAATTATTATCTGAATCGCTGCGACCATGGTCAGCTCATGCTGTTACAGTGATCAACAATGAGTGGTTATGCTTTTGAACATTAACCATGGTAAGATACGGTCAGTCAATTACATGGGTAATTTTGTAATGTATTTTTGTCACACCCTCTTCAGCATTTTGTTCCCGAACTTGAAATGTTCAAATTTTTCTCGACGAGGATCTGAATGACTATGTCCTTGTTTTGCATATGAACAATGGAGACAGACCAAGGTTTGTGCAAAAGCTTACTTAAGGTTCAGGAGAGAGAGAAAAAACAGTATCCATCCACCCTTTATTAATCCCCAAAACCTTTTATTTTTCCCACCAAATCTTCCCCCAAGCCACTTACTACAACCACAAAGAGCAGACATGCGTAATCCCAAACTTCCGAGACGCATCTCCTTACAAATCCCACTGCACTTGACTTCCGTATAGACTGTTTCTATTCGATAATTTCCGTCCAAGGTCCTCTAATACCTTGCAGTACTCAGATGTCGTGTTCTAAAATGATTTGTTTTTGTATGTGTTCTCATTGCAAATATTTCCCCTATGACATCACGTGTCGAGGAGAGTTTGGAACAGTGTAGTATCCAATTGAATTTCCTATATTTTCGTTTTCAATACAAGTTTCTTAGTAATAAAGCTACCTGGCACCAGGCGTTAAGATTTCAAGCAGCATCAGGAGATTTGAGGAAACGTGTACAGTAAAAAAAACCAGGTAGAACATGAAATACTATTCGGATTGTAGTATCAATTGAAGGAACATCTTTTCTTAGTTGATTGTTTTGTTATTGTTGCTTTTTTAATTTAAAAACATTAAAATGCTGTCGAAAAAGAGGAGAAAATATTAAGCTATCAGGTGTTTCAAACGTTCTGTAAAGTCCATTTTTTTAAAAAGTTCATATTTGAAATGAGACGAAAGTCGATATTACATTAATTTAAAGCTCGAATAATTTTTAATGTTTTTAAAATGACCGATAAATCTTTGCGAGGATCGTATGATGAAATATTTGTGAAAATTACTATATGCAAAATGTATGTCCAAACCTGCAAAATTAGAAATAACACGAACAAGACAAAGGAAATAGTCTACGGGACAACAAAGAATATGTATAACGACCTTGTTTGTATAACGATATTTCTGTACGTTTTGTCAGTTCTTTTAAAATCTAATATTTCAATTCATTAGTATTAAATAAAGAAATTTAACCTAAACTTATGCAACTGCCATTGTCATGTTATTAAATAGACACCCATGTCCTATCATTGATATAAAGTATGTAACACCGTCCGAGACCTTGTCGCCTTGACCTATAAAAACACCATAATTGTGACTGTTATGAGTCCATGATAGAGGCGTCTGTGTGTTGTCTTTTGAATGCATATTGATGACAGATACTTTAATTAAAGTATTCTGACCAACAATGGAGATAGTATACGATAAAGCCTGGTGCTTGTAATAGGAAAGGATTTAACACATGTTTATCAATAGATTTTAATGTAAATTTTGATCAGCAATGTTGTCTGCACGCGACGAACAGTTTGTAAATATCCTATTTCTTGATTACATTGTCCAAAACATGATAAACTAGGCGATCAATACAACTTGTTTGGGCATACTTTTATAAATCCTTAAGTTCCAAACCCATACAGATGTATTACCAAATAAATGTATATAGTAAACACAACTTAAATAACTTCGACAGATTCTAAGGTCGGAAGGAACCAAGAAATGATACATTGTATGAATAGCTTTGTGATAGAATCTAACAATTTTTAATGTCGTGCGTTATAGTTCTCTGAACCTTTCAACTTTTAATCATTATCTTGCAGGCTTTTTATGTGAATATCACGTTTTCTCAAACTTTTACTTATCCTGTGTTGTAATGTCTTAAAATGAATATGGTTAACCAAATACACGAAGTCTTTGCGTCAACAATCTTGCACATGAAATAAATATGCAAGGGTACAACAATGGTTGAAGAGAAATGTACATGTACATGAGATGTCTATGTAATAGTTGGCTAATGACATGATCTATCAGAATATGTGATATGTCCTTCTGCACGCGAGGAACACGCTATAAACATTAGATTACCATGCCTTTATCACTAGTGGAGAACAATTTGATAAAAGATTACCTTAATTCATTCACCTCTGAAATTGTATAATGAACTATTTCAACCTTTGAATTAGAAGGGCTCAAATGTGTGATTTTTCCTGGTTTTATTATTTTGGTCTTTTTACCAACTTATTTAATTAAGGAAATGTGGTTTTAGTAATAACAGAGCAATCAGGTGCATTTACATATAGTTTGCTTCAGTAGAGGCCGAATCAAAGTAAATCAAACTAAGGTGTTTTAAACAGGAACCCAATTTTATTTTCGTTAATATTGTACCGGTCTATGATATGTTGAGTTCCCTTCTCGCATAGTGCAAAGCAAACTTATTGATGATTTGCTTTTATTATCATTATTTGTTTAATTGTTCCAGTTATTTCATATTTATGTTTTAATTTTTTTTTTTATGTATAAAAACTGCTTGGTACCTTGACACTATTGAATTAGAAATTAATAAATAAATTTATCTGACATCTTGTGAAGCTAACACTACTTTGGAAACTACTCTATGTAGCGATCTATAAAGATTGTCACAGCTCGTGTCATTTAAACATTTAGCTTACCTGTACTAATGAAACGTATCAATTCGTGTCTGCACGCTTCAGACAGGTGGTATAGTTCGTTATTCTTATGGTTGTTGACATTTGAGTACATTGTTTGTTTAAATGATCTTTTTGCTCAAACGGACAAGCGGGATTAATCATTAGAAAGGCCAGTGCACGGTTCTCCTAAGATTAAGTGACAACTACATAGTTAACCTTTTCTATTGGTCTATTTTGTTAATGATTTCATTTCATACATGCATGAACTGATATATTATATATTTATAAACATGTTGCGTTGAGCTAAATACACTTTCAAAGAAGTTAACAGTTGGAGCCAAGATTGATACTATCTAAGACTTGTGACCAGATGTTGAAAACGTTGACACCAATTCACTGGTTTTGTTATCTTTGTGCTAACTTTTATTAATATTGTGTACAAACGCGGTTAATCTTAATCCCAATAAGATGTAGTTTATGGTGAAATTACAAAACATACTGCATATATAAGATATGTTGCATGCTTATATGGCGTTAGCTATCAGAGCCAACATTATAAATGATCAGCAAACAGATATATACTTACGTATTAATACATCTGTTTAACTATCACAAAATGGCGTCATAAAGACATCAGAACTAATTTGAGTAAACATTACGTACCTAATTGCGGAGCTTAAAAGCCGTAATCTCTAATACATTTTCATTACATTGTTTTTTATTACGAGGTTGGTGTTAGACACTATTAGGAGATTCGCTTTTAACATTACTGAACTTTCGGTACAGATTGAACTATGGACTGAATACTAAAATGAAAGATTAGGGCCTTTTTCCCCCTTTCAATTCAACTTTCATAAAACAGGAAGACAAATGACATCAATAAAGGTTCGTGATTTACTGCTGTTGTCAAACTAACAGTACATTTTATCTTACATTGTTTGTATTGAACAAAACAAAACATTGATAATCCAAATTACAAATTAAATCAAATATTAAAGGCAAGTGCAAGTACTGTACAATATATTCTCTAGGTACCAACCAGACGTATATAACAACCTGATTAAATCCTAAGAACCTCAAATTATTATTATTATTATTATTGTAACCATTGATATTGTATTGTGTCGTAGAAAAGAGCATTCCATCAAATGATCACACAGGAAATAAACATCGAGCTATCAGGTGTGAAACCATTTCAGTAGATATCAACAATCACAGAGCGGCGTTACTGTTAATTAATAAAGCTGTGGTCAAACTTAAATTTGAAGAAAACAAAATCTTCCTCGTCGGCGCTGTACATGTCCGAAAATAAAATAATATCATATCGGAACAAAATGTTGAGATAACTTGCATAGGTTAAAAAGTGCATAAACGTTGAACCGACCGTCGTGTTCATTCAAATTGAATACGTGCGCTAATTTATGTACTTTACATGGCAAACATCCATAAATAATAGTATATCTGAAAAAACTTTTAAGATAATTTGC